AACTGTTAGGATGCAAATAACTCTAGGAAGTATAAAGTGAGAGCTAAACACACACGCCCATCTGTAGCAGCAATCCAAAGAGGTGCCTAATTTTAGAAAAGCTATTTCCTGTTTTCCCTTTATAACTTGGTTAATAAAGGGAGCTTTATTATCTTTTTAAAAATCTTCTGTATTGATAATAACATCTGGAGATTAGGAGTGTGAGATCCTAGGAATTCTAATGAGACTGTTTCGGATTTATCTAAATAAACCCAGAGGTAAATAAGAAATTTGATGTGAAAAACCCTCAGACATCCTGAAAGATGTGATTGGTGGTCTACATAGTGATCACCTCCGTACCGGCAATACTTTTTCCCAGGTGATTTTGAATATTTTCTAAGATACTGTTGCATGAAGGTGGACACTTTGGAAGAATGCATGGGGTTGGGCTAGCACAAGAAAGGAAGGGGAGGTTCACTAGGACCTCATTCTCTTCTCTTTTTTTTCCCACAATGCTGAAGATTGTATTTGATGATATGTTTTGAAGCACTACAAAGTGCTTATTAAATAGAAATTCAAAATTAAAAAAAAAAAACTCAAAAATATCAAGCTCTTTCTCATTATATCAAATAGGTGGGTGATATCTACTCATAATTCATTTTAATATTGTAAATGAAGTCTGTGGGGTGCATATGGAGCAGAATGGAAAGCTGGGAGAAAATTGAGAGAACCATGAAGAAAGAATTCACACTCTATAAGAGAAGGCAGTTGGGATTGCCGCCAGCCAGACCCTGTCTTACAGAACAGCGACAACACAGATGTGCCCTTCACATGCTGGCTTCAAGTCGAAGGTTCTGACTCCATTTTCTGTCATTTCACCTCAGGTGAAATACAGTACTCCTGCTAAGTAAGTCCTTGAATTCACAGCCTGGGTTGAAATCCCAGCTCTACCAATTCCTAGCTGTGCAGCCACAGACAAGGAAACTCACCTGCCAGTACCTCAGTTTTCAACTGTAAAATGGAAGTAATTACAGAAGCCTCCTCACACAGCAAATACTCCAGCTCTTCCCACGTTTACTTTCTCTAAATAAATTCACAAAGAGAAAATGTCTAATGAAGCCACCAATCTTGGATTGGTCTATTTGCAGCCAGCAAGAAACACAATGTCTCATCAAAAGTCTGTTCAAATATCCCTAAAACTGTCACAGAGAAGACTTCTATTTCATAACACTGGAATTTCTGGCAGTTAAAAATGAGGCAGAAGTCTCAAAGTCTTGAAGATTATACTTTTTATTATATTATACTGTATCACATATAAATATATTGATGGGCTTTTCTAGTTCTCTTTATTACTTCCTATAGACTTTCAAGTTGTTATGCTCCATGATATATTGGTTGTAATATATGTTGTGATTAATTGGTTTAATATTGTCTTTGGGATCACACTCTTGAAGAGTTAGTCGTCAAGTCCAGTATAACATTATTTCTGTGAGAAAACCAAATGACTTAAATCCTTTGGTTATGAGGTCAGGGTGGGAGAAGAAAATGGCCATCAGAAAGCCAGCTGATACTATTGAGGTTTGGGTTAAAGAAAGACCAGGAGAGAGGAGACGTGCCCAGCTAAGAAGGAGTTAGAAATGCCCTTCAGTTTAGCACGGGGTTTGAAACCAAAAGAATTGTTTCAATCAATGATCTTCATATATTCTTGCAGAAATGACACATACATTTTGGCAGAGGCTAAATCCATTTTTTTTAAAAAAGAAGAAGAATGTACTGCTCTTCCATCTAAGATAATAGCGAAAGCAATGATCTTTGCTGGTTTATATACACATGCATTATGATGACATTGCATTGCATATAAAAGTGAGGAGGAAATACCTAAACATAAAAAAGATCCAGAAGAGAAACCCAATATTGTGATTTTTACTGACCTCTGTGGTGTGGAGAAATTTTTCAGGTGTCACTCAGCCTGGAAGTTATTATCTTTCTACCCAAATCCAGATGATCTAGAGAATCCTCCTAGTGCCCCAAATAGGAGAGACCATTGCCAGGTAGGAAGCAGCTGCCCCAGGCATTTTGCCAAGAGTCTAGTGGAGGTGCCTGAGTTTCCTTAGCTGCCAGTCTTCTCTAAACCTGGAGCAGTGGATTAGGAAGAGCAGCTGTTCAGGCTATAAACACCCACTAGGTGAAGGTTTGTGGTTCAAACCAAAATTCTGATCAATCGCAGTGAGAGACACTGAGGAGTCTCTGAAGATGGACTGAAATAAAGTGCCATCTTGATTGGGGTTATTATGGACAAGGATGGTGGAGCGATGTAGAAGGGGTCCACTGAAGACAAGGAACCAGAGAAAGAACAGGAAGTGCCTTGAGATGTTGCCCTAAATTACATCAAACTAAGGAATTAACCAACCACCTGGTGAGGAGGAAGGTGAGTTAGTGGCAGGGACTCTCATATACTGTTTGTAATTAGGAGCTCATTTTTATGAATGGAGTGTATGTGTTTGTATCAGCTGACATGTCAATTCACACCAAGTCGTATTGACCAGAGGTAGCTGCCTGAAGCATTGGGTTGATGAGGAATCTAGGTCTGAGGCTAGACTCAAAAACGAATATAGCCATCTGCCTTGAATGTCGAGAGGCAGCCATGCCTGGGTGTGGAGGGGAGCATTAGCAGCCTTGATGACAAAGTCTAGGCCTTAACTGCTGGGTAAGTTGCAGAAATTATGGTTATTTGCTAATTATTATTATAAGTTATGGTTATTTGCTAATATGTACAGTTGACCCTTGGACAACATGGGTTTGAACAGCACAAGTCCACCTATATGTGGAATTTTTTTGGATAAATACATTACAGTTCTATAAACATATTTTCCCTTCCTTATGATTTTCTTAATAACACTTTCTTTTTTTAGTTTTAGAATATAGTATATAATAAATATTCCAAATGTCATCATCATCATCAATTATTTTATATTATCCTTAAGGCTTCAGGTCAACAGGAGGCTGTTAGTAGTTAAGTTTTGGGGAATCAAAAAGTGTACACAGATTTTCAACAGTATGGGAGGTGGTCAGAACTCCTAACCCCTTCATTGTTCAAGGGCCAACTGTAGTCATCCTCAGTGAATCTTGTTTTCATTATGAAGTTCTGTGTCCGACGAATCCTCTAATATATGTTCAAGATTGTTATAAGACAGGTAAACCTTTGAAAACAATTCCCACCAACAAGCCAGAGCCAAGAAAGTGCACCAATGATAAGCAGCCGCTCTTACAGCTTATGCCAAAGAAGACCAGCTTCTGAGTGTGTCACAAGTTGGAGAAAATCAATGTATGGTTCAGCCTCAATCTCACAGGGGTTAAGAAGACAGTGCTAACCAAACAGAGCAGTGATTTAAAGCCGTCTGTGAAGTATGAATGAAAGAAACAGAATAAATACCTTCCTGGAAGACTAGCTCGTGGCTGACATCTCTTTTGGATTCACAGCTTGCTTCCAAGTCCAAGGAATACATGAATACACTTCATTTGAATAGACAAATGTGTTCTTAATTTAAAGATAAGGAAGGGAAGCTATCTACACACTCAAGACGGGCAGACAGATTGAGGGCCGTGTACGAGAGCAAGGTGTCACTGAAAGAGAGGCAAAAAGGCAACCAAAGTTATGGACTTCATTCCAACAAGCTACCTTGCTTGCTCTTCTCCCTGGCGGCCAGTTTTGATATTTAATCAAATGTCTGGTCTTCATCTTTCTTGCTTAAGCGAATAGGACACAGTTTAAGAACCTGAGCATTTGTTCTGTTTAAATGACACTGAGTAACATTAAATGCAACAACCACAGTACTGAGAGCTGACGTTTGTCTGTCAACCACTTGCCAGGCATCATGGTGTATTCTTGTGTTCTCATTATGTAATCCTCACAACAAAACAAAAATACTATTAAATACATAGAGTACTTGATACGTGCAAGGCACTGTTCCCAGCACTTTGAAAATATTAACTTGCTTAACGTTTACAACAGCCCAGTAAGGTAAATACTAAGATGCATAACGAAGACCTAGAAGAACAGAGGTTAAGGAACTTGCCCAAGGCCACTCACAGCTAGTAAGCAGCAGAACTACATTAGGATCAGGTGATCTTACGACGCGGGCACTCCACCCACTGCCATGTGGAAGAGAAGGGAGCAGAGACACAAAGGTGAACTCGCTAGCTCAGGGTCACAGAGCTAAACCTAAGTCAGAGTCAGGATTTGAATCCGGGGTCCGTCTGACTTCAAAGACTGAGCTCCCAACCACTTTCTTGCACTGCCGTACGTTGGGCCAGAAAAAGGTTTTTCTTTTGTTAGCCGGTACAATGTAATGCTGTACCATATTGCCTTAAGCATTTGAGAAATTCCAGTTATTTCACGACTGATACATGTTCAGTCTTCAGATAATGCAAAGGCCTGCCTGGGGAAAAAGTCTGAATTCTCAGATTTTTCTTCTAAAGTCACCTGGGTTCTCTCTTGTTTCAGAGGAGACTGTATGGGCTCGTGCCTATATACACAACACCAAATGGAAATAAGACAAGATTTCTAAGCACCCTTTGGCTAATTAATTACCCTGGCTTATTTGATACAAGGTCATTATCAACACAGTGCCTTTTAAAGATCTGGGACTCTCTAGGCTTGTGGATGATGTCCAGCACAGGCTTCTTTTAATACCACCCACTCATAATGCAGTGCTAGGATGGGAGAAGTACGTGTGAATGTCGCGGCAGAAGTGTGAATCTGAATGCATTCCAAAGCCAAACACAAATGCTTTTGGATTATGCACAGCTTCCTTTTCTTCACGCCTTTCCTCTCATGTATTAAAGGAACTAAAAGAGAATGATAGCAAGTCCATTTATTCACACGTTTATTTTTCTGAAAAACTCAAATCCCATTATTTCTCAATGACAAATCAAGAACATGACATTTTCTATGGAAGGATCCTCAGAAAGGATTCAAATCCGAAACAACATGCTATGAAGAGCATATTTAAGAGCAATACCTTGATGTGAAAGCCAGTCCAAAGCCTTGTTTGGTTGATAAAATCATACTCTGGTATTCCCCAACCAATTTCACCAACATACTCATATTTATATTTTGCCGGTAAGCATCTGTTTGAGGCAGGCCTCCATAAATATCTGAGATCTCCAGTCTTTTCTAATGCTGGGCGCTTTTCTCCTATATAGGAAGTGTGCTGATGAATTTTTGGTAGATGATCCTTTATATAATCTGGGCCTTAAAAAGACAGAAAGACTTTTTTAAAAACTCTATACTTTATTCTAAAATGCATTTGTCATTTTAAATGGTGAACATAATAATACTAATGATTATATGATACTAGGTTCTGGGTGCTATTACAAGCCTTTTAGATACATTAATCCATTAATGCTTATAATAACCAAATGAGATAGATAGTAGTGTTTTCTCCAATTTTTAGCAGAGGTGGGGGGAATGAAGCAAAGAAAGATTGATTACTTTTCTAGAGTCACAACTAATAAGCTCTTCATTGCCAGACAGGCTGTCTCACAGTTGGGTTCTTATTTATCCCCCATCCACTGCTTTTTTTTAGAACTAATTTAATCCAGATGTATCTTTATTTATTTTTTTTAAATGTTTATTCATTTTTTAAGAGAGAAAGAAAGAGATAGAGACAGAGCATGAGCAGGGGAGGGGGAAAGAGGGAGGGAGACACAGAATCCAAAGCAGCCTCCAGACTCTGAGCTGTCAGCACAGAGCCCCACGTGGGGCTTAAACTCACAAACCACTCAGATCATAACCTGAGCCGAAGTTGGACACTTAACCGACTGCACCACCTAGATGCCCCCAATCCAGACATATCACTTGTGCCACACTTGCGGGATATAGGCCTTCAGACATTGGGGTGTCTGATCTAAACAGATAAAATCTTGAAATGAGAATTAGGAAATTTCCCAAATGTATCAGAAGCAACTGGAAAGTAGAGAAGACTCTCAGATGAGAAGAGCAGCTTATAACAGACGATGACCAAAGACAGAGACATTTAACAAATAATGGTATATTATTTTATTTTTAAAATGTTTATTTTTGAGAGAGACAGAGTGTGAGCAGGGGTGGGACAGAGAGAGAGGGAGACACAGAATCTGAAGCAGGCTCCAGGCTAACAGCAAAAAACCCGACGCGAGGCTCACACTCACAAACCGGCGAGATCATGACCTGAGCCAAAGTCAGCCACTTAACCGGATGAGCCACCCGGGTGCCCCTAAATATTGGTATTTTAAATGTAAGACAGTGAACAAAAAGAAATCCGTGAATTGTGGAAGTGGGTAAAATACACCAAAATATGAGAAGGTCTGGAAAGGATCACTTAAATGAACCTGGTATTGAAAGTTGAGGATGTGAAACATAAAGGGGAGCAAAGATCTACGGGAAGAATGGTACTGATTTAAAGTAGAAAGTAAGGGGCTGGCCAGGAGGAGTTTCAGAAGTCCCAGAACCCACATTGCTGCAGGATCATATGGACAAATTAGGGACACAAACAAAAAACTCCATTCCTGTTACCAGAAGTCGACCAAAGACGTTGGAGGCAGAAGCTATGTTGTGGTTGTGATGTCAACTGGGCCCCTCTTGGCCCTGTGACTCCTCTCATTTGGCTCTTGGGTCAGGGGGCTCAGTGTTTGCAGAGTTTATGGGTGGGCCGGGGCTTTGACCAGGTACTCGGAAGGAATGGTCAATGTGCTAACAAGTCTGTGCTTAGAGAAGTCGTCTAAACTTTCCAAGGTAGTGGGAAACGTGAAACTGCTCGTCAGATGCATGATTTTGGCAGATGTTTTCACAGCCTCCTAATCAACATCACTCCTCATGGTGCGCTGAGTACTCACTGTGGCTAATTTCCCTTGACAGATACATGGTGGCTTCACTTTTATTCATGTCAGGTTTTCACTCAGGTATAACTATTTTGGTAAAGAATAGAATGGCCAGAGCATAGAAAACCATTTTCTTTCTCAATGTGACAGGTGTTGCGGTCTTACCTACAAAACTCCTGTCAGAAGGAATTTGTGCAGCAGGCTCCTCTGAACAGGATGAAATACAGAAGAATGGGGGTTAGTCTTGCTGAAACTTCTGTGCACACTAAGGCCACCGTTTTCCCAAATGTGTCATCAAATGCCACTTCCTTGAGTGCACGATGAAAATATATGTGTGTGGGGTGGGGGTGCTTTATAGTCAAAAACTTTGGGGAACACCGCTTGCTACTTTTGCCTTTTAGTTGCCCACAGCACATGAAGGCATATTAAAAGTTCTGAGAAGTCCTACGGTAACTAAACCTGTTTACACTTAGGTGACCCAGTGTTTCCCAAACTTATTTAAGCATGGGTCTCCGTCAGTGCAGAGCCCAGGGTGGGGCTTGATCTCACAAACTGTGACATCACGGCCTGAGTGAGAATCAAGAGTTGGACGCTGAACTGACTAAGCTGTCCCTGCGATTAATTTTTAAAAAGAGCCGTTACTTGAGAGCTGAATCAAAAGCACTCGGTTTTAGATAGTGTCATGGAAGGTGCACATACTCTACAAACCAAGAATATGTTTATGTGGGGGCGGGGGGGGAGGGGCAGGGAGCTCCAATCAGGGTTCTCTGCGGCTTTAGTCAAGTCACTGGACTTTTCTCAACTCCTGTTTCCTCTTTCGTGCTTTAGAAATAGCATGATGCAAAAATAAATAAACGTTAAAAAAAAAAAATTAAAAAAAAAAAAAAAAAGAAATAGCATGATGCAATATTCACAGCACAGGAGATTCCTGGGAAGACCCCGCCCTGGCCACCTAACTGACGCAGGTATCTGCCTTATGAGGCCGAGGCAGCTGGATGCCAGAGGCCAAGCTAGGCCCCCATTTCCAGCAGATCCCCTCTAGCCATCCCGGTGTTTACCTTACCAGAAAGCAAAAGATCCACGTATCACTACCCAAACAGCAACACGCAGAAATGTGCTTTCCTTAATGAGACAGTTCCACAGGTGTTTGGCTTTAAATGACACACTTTTGTTTTTCCAAACCTCTTCCTCCAGGGCCTAAGCTCTATGCTGGTTCTGATTCCCTGCCTAAGAGTAAAACTTCCAACTCACATGCAACCCATTGTCTCTTTAGTTTTCCTTTAACAATTATCATCTCTGTTCAGCTATCGTTGCTACATTTCTTAGGATGTTTCTAGTTTTTTTTCATCATATGGAAGCTTTCCTCCATCTTTCATCCTCTTCCCCAAACTCCAGTGCTCATTTGCCAACAGTGACGTTGGCAGCTCCTGGGTTAATAAGTCTCTCACCTGCCCATCTTCTTTAAAGTTCTCTTTTGCGTCTGAAGACTTGTCTAGTGGGACAACTAGCAGCTATAGCGCTTACACAGAGCTGCCCAACTTCTGTCAGTCAGTCCTAACTCTTCCTCCCCTGTGAGAGCCACATTGTGATGGGAGGAGATGTACTTCCATTAAAACCTGTACCAGGCTTCGGGGCTCCACGTTTCTTATTCGTCCTGCCCTGGAAAAACTGTATGCCCTTTCCCTCTCCCCTCTACATGTGCCCAACAGTACTTGCTTATTTGTACTGAAATTCTAAAGTTACAGTTAAGGATATGATTTTGAAGCTAAACTACTGTAGATTCAAATCCTGGCTTTGTCTGAAGCTGGCCTTTTTTTTTTTTTTTTCTTTTTTAAAAATTTACATCCAAGTTAGTTAGCGTATAATGCAACAATGATCTCAGGAGTAGATTCCTTAGTGCCCCTTACCCATTTAGCCCATCCCCCCTCCCACACCCCCCTCCAGTAACCCTCTGTTTGTCCTCATATTTAAGAGTCTGTTTTGTCCCCCTCCCTGTTTTTATATTTGTTTTGCTTCCCTTCCCTTGTGTTCATCTGGTCTGTGTCTTAAAGTCCTCATATGAGTGAAGTCATTATGATATTTGTCTTTCTCTGGCTGGCTAATTTTGCTTAGCATAATACCCTCTAGTTCCATCCACGTAGTTGCAAATGGCAAGATTTCATTCTTTTTGATTGCTGAGTAATACTCCATTGTATATATATACCACATCTTCTTTATCCATTCATCCATTGATGGACATTTGGGCTCTTTCCATACTTTGGCTATTGTTGATAGTGCTGCTGTAAACATTGGGGTGCATGTGCCCCTTCGAAACAGCATACCTGTATCCCTTGGATAAATACCTAGTAGTACAATTGCTAGGTCGTAGGGTAGTTCTATTTTTAATTTTTTGAGGAACCTCCATACTGTTTTCCAGAGTGGCTGCACCAGCTTGCATTCCCACCAACAATGCAAAAGAGATCCTCTTTCTCCGCATCCTCGTCAGCATCTGTTGTTGTCTGAGTTGTTAATGTTAGCCATTCTGACAGGTGTGAGGTGGTTTCTCATTGTGGTTTTGATTTGCATTTCCCTGATGATGAGTGACGTTGAGCATTTTTTCATGTGTCAGTTGGCCATCTGGATGTCTTCTTTGGAGAAATGTCTATTTGTGTCTTTTTAAGGCTGGCCTTTTGACCCAGGGAAAGTTATTCAGCCTCTGAGTTTTAGGCCTCTCCTCTATAAAATGAGAATATTGATGCCCTCCTATATTGTAGCCATGTTGGATGGAGAGGAGAGAATCAATTTTATTTAAAGAATTGCTTAGCTGAGAACGTGGCATATAATATATAGCTAATATTATTATTGTTTTTTGTTTTTTGATGTTTTCTCTTATTACATTCCTTTAAAACATATTTTAGGAGCTTTCACTGATAAATGATTTATTCCTTATTGTGATTAAGTTCCAGTTCCTTTCCTGAGAGCTCATCTAGATCAGGGGTTGGCAAACTTTTCTTATAAAGACCAAGAGAATAAATAGTTTTGGCTTTGTGGGGAATACTGTCAGTAACTACCCAGCTGTCCCACTGTAGGGCAAAAGCATCAGTAGACAATATGTAAACAAACGAGCATGGCTGTGTTCCAATAAAACTTTATTTATGAACATTGAAATTGTAAGCTCATGTAATTCTCACATGTAACAGAATATTCTTCTTCTTTTGCTTTTTCCTACTTGAAAATCTAAAAGCCATTCTTTGTTCACCAGCCCTACAAAAACAGGTGGCAGGACAAATTTGATCCAGGAGCCAAGGTTGGCTGACCTCTGCTCTAGATGGTGGGAAGATGGTGGACACTAAGGAAGCAGATTGCCACAAAGGCTGGAAAGAGCACAGACAGGCGAATCTGGGAGGTTTTCCA